CAGGCCGACGCTCTATCCACTGAGCCAAACCGGTCAGGGCACCCAGGGCTTTTATATAAACAGACTAGAGGCCCCGCGCGCACGAAATCATGCACTTGTAGCTCGCTTCTGCTTGCTTCAGCTGGCTGCCCCACCCATCGCTGCTAGTAGTTCGCTGCCCCGCCCTCTGCCACTTGTAGCTCTTTGCTGCTAGTAGCTCACACCCCGCCCTCTGCCACTCATAGCGCTCCACCCTCCACCACTTGTAGCTCTCCGCTGCTAGTAGCTCACGCCCTGCCCCGCCTGCTGCGAGAGCCACTGCTCATTTGGTCATGATGGCGTTATGGCGTCACGGCCACAGGCCTTTTATTAGTATAGATCAGGGGTCCTCAAACTACGGCCCGCGGGCCACATGCAAATACAAATATTGTATTTGTTCCTGTTTTGTTTTTTTACTTCAAAATAAGATATGTGCAGTGTGCATAGGAATTGTTCATAGTTTTTTAAACTGTAATCCGACCCTCCAACGGTCTGAGGAACAGTGAACTGGCCCCCTGTTTAAAAAGTTTGAGGACCCCTGCTAGGTCTAATCCTCTCTGATGCTGGCAGTTCCATTGTGGTAGCTCATTATTGGATGGGATATTGAAGGTAATCTAGGTCAGGAATTCCCAAACCTGGCTGAATATCAGCCTCAACTGGAATCTTTTAAAACACGGAATGCCAGCTCCCTCCTCGGAGAGGACAGCACAGTGGTTCTGCTGGCACACGGGAGTCTGTATTTTCAATCTCTCCCCAGGATGGCTGTAGCGACTGGAAGAGAGGCCAGGGGAGGTTTCTGTGCTGGTCATGTTCTGACTCTTGATCTAGGTTCTGGTTACACCAGTGTATTTGGCTTGTGAAAACTTGCTGAGCTGTACACTTATGACACAAGGATCTTTCTGTATGCCCTATTTCCATAAGATTTTTTTTTTATCACCTAAAACTTCTGTCCAAGTGATTCTGGTGATGTGTGAGCCAGCCCATCTAGTATTTCTTTAAGTGCAGCCCTTGGACCACTGGCTTCGGCATCGACTGAGGTGCAGGTTAAAAATGGCAATGCCATGAAAAACAACAACAATGACCAAAAAAAACAACAGCAACAAAAACACACACACACAAAAAAATGCCAATGCCAGGCCTCACCCAAGACTTTCGAAATAAGAGTCTGGAGGTGACATCAGGAGCAGGTCTCTTTAAAAACACACTCCCTGGGTGAGTTTGCACAATCTTTACTTTTAGAACCTCTGCTGTCTGATGCCAGATGGTCCAGAGAGAAGCTTCAGCCATCACTTTCCCTGCAACCCACTCTGGGGCAAGGGACACAGAAGGGAACCCCCCACCCTGAGAGTAGCTCACCTAGCCTAAATCCAGTGGGCCCAGAGAAAGTGCACACATCTGAGAAAGAATTCCCTAGTGCAAACCAGGTGGACCCATGGAGGGTAGGCCATGCCAGGCAGGGGGCGATGTGAGCTGGGGCAAGGTCATTCTCTTGCTGCCAATGCTCA